ATACTAAGAAACAAGAAAATTTCATTAGAAACAAAGAAAACAGTACTGAAAAATGATGCAGTATCAACCGTCATATCGGGCAGTCAATACTGGACAATCTCCTCACATAAGAAGAAGAATAGACTTGAAACAACAGAAATGTGATTCTTTACATTATTTAAATTATTCGGTCTGCTATCCTCGTCTTCATTACCGTATTCAGCACGTTTCGGCCGTTGTACACTCCAGCCTTCTTCAGGTCCACAAGGGCACATGGCCCAGTGGATAAAGACGTTAGTTAGATCCAGTGACTAGACCCAAAGAGTTGTGAGTTCAATACTAGGCTATAACAGTGGTGAACCAAAAAACTTAGAGAGTTGAGTTAAAGGGAAATAACTGAGACATCCGAAAAGTCATGGAACTAGAATAACCTACACCGGTGGATGAAATAAGTATTCGCTTCGAAATTCCAATTATCTGAAGAAGGCCAGAGCCTACAAAGGCCGAAACTTTGTGAATATGACAATGAAGATGAGGTTAACAGTCCGAATAATGTAAATATTCATAATACCTTAACTCAAAGATATAGACAGAAATTAGATTCTATAGAAGGATGCTGAGAATACCATGGACTGGACATGTGAGCAACGACGAAATTTTAGAGAAAATGGAAAAAAGTATACTCATATTAAACATCAGAAAGATACAGTTGAAATTTCTAGGGCATATAATGAGGAAAGAGGGCTTAGAAAATGTGTTACTCACAGGAGAGATTGAAAGCAAAAGAAAGAAAAGAAACCAGACCATAATCTATCTAAAGTGCTTTTTTAAGAAAAATAGAAAAAATAGTAAATTTCTAAGAGCTACAAAAGATAGGAAATTATAGAGAGCCATAATCGACAACGATCTGAAGGAACATGCCACAGATGAATGCCTTAAATGGATCTAAAGCACTGCAATGGCTTCAAGCAAAAAGTGTGCTTAACAGTTGCAATATTTTACTTCAAAATGTTTTCTAGATTAAGAAAATCTGAATCAGCAAAGGCTGTCCCATTCATTCATATTCACTTCTTAAAGAATGATGTATCTATTAAGAAAAACTGTTTATTTGCAATTAACCTAGACTAATACCGCTGTGCCATGACCTCCTGATTGAGAAAACATATTTTTTCATGTTTCTTCTTCAAACAACGCCAAAAGGAACGAGAGGTACCCGCTGTTTCAATCAAGGTTTTTTGTGCTTACGTCATTTTAAAAAAATGATGTCTTTTAAAATAAGTATTAATCAATTCTGATCAATTGAAGAGGGTGTTCGAAAACTGTTCTTAGATGAATCAATAGACTGAAAAGCTAAAGAGCAAAAATCGAATCTATCATCATTTCGGTCTTTGCCGACCGACATTTTAATGAATTGATCTTCAACGCGATAAAAAGTCGAATATACTAATCACCGATTTTATTCTCTAAACAATCACATCCCATGTATCCTCTATCTCTTTCTTTATCTCTCTCTCTCTATATATATATATATATATATATATAGAGAGAGAGAGAGAGAGAAAGATGCGTGTGCGTATATATATATATATATATATATATATATATAAATTACAGACATTATGTCTGCTAATTTTTAACAAAATCCGTTCATACTCACGAATAATCTTCCATGTATTGATGTTAAAGGATGAAAGAAATGTGCTATAGCTGTTTAAATTTCTTTTATTTTCATTTACCAAGTACTTTCGATCTTCTTCCAAGATCATCTTCACAGGGTGCAAGTAGTACAAGTAGTATGTTGTTCATTTGTACAACTATTTATATAAAGTTGTGCGTTATTATCAATGACTGTAAAATTTTTTTCATCATGCTTTTAAATGCAAAACTGTTGACAATGTGCAATTTGCACTCTGAAGATGATCTTAGAAGAAGATCAAAAGTACCTGGGAAATGGAAATAAAAGAAATTTAAACAACTATAGCACATTTCTCTCATCCTTTAACATCAATACACGAAATTACATGCATGAATCTCACTATAAATAGTTATAAATAATTATTGAGCATTGTGATATTTTTGCATTATAACGAGTATTAAGAATATAGTAAATAGGATCCGCAAATTGGAGGAGAGAGTTATCAATGATAAATGTTGTGACTTCAAATCTGTGGTTATCACCCCTTAATCCTTTTTCTGGGCCTTCTTTACTGGTGGGCTGCTTACGCCTTTTCACCGGGACTTACATTTGGTGAGACGTGAGCAAATTATTATTTCGAAAAAGCGGCCCAGAGAAAAAAAAAGGTTTGGGAACTACTGCTCTGAAGGTATAACAACTCAGAATTCGACTGTTAAGTAAGTAACTTAAAACCACTGCACTTTTCAACTAAGGAATGACAATTGACAGATAATAAAGAAAAAGAAATCTGTGTAAAGCCATGATTGTCTACGCCCTGAAGTAACATGACATTAAAAAAAATACATTTCTAGAAATTATTAGGGGCGAGGCTATAGCTTCAAAAATAAAGGTAAAATTTGTGGTGATTTTAGTCAAAAAATGTGTAAGTATATTTGAAATTATTCAAGTCTTTTCTTGTAAAAAGACAAAAATTTTAGTAATCTCGTGTTGAGAATTTTCAATCATATTTCGCGGTTTAAAGGTTGCATATTTAACCTTAACATTTGATTTCTTGTAAGGATTATATTTCTTTTTTTCTAAGGAAATTTGTTCTTTTACTGACTTATTTTGCTTATCTTTTGAAAGGCATCTTTCGCAGTTCCAATGCGCCTTCGGATTTCGGTGTCACATTTTGGGTTCTCTGTTAAAACTATAACATTCCTAGTTGAAAATACCTCAGCTCTAATGCCAACACTGGGCTAAGAAGTCTTCTATTAAAAGGTCTCTCTCTCTCTCTCTCTCTCTCTCTCTCTCTCTCTCTCTCTCTCTCTCTCTCTCTCTCTCTCTTGCTGTGTGTGTGTGTTTATGTGTTTGATTCCAGAGAAAAGCTAATTGAGAGATCAAACTGGTCAGTCAAGTGCAAATTAAAATACAATTTGTGTAAATCCTGACTCAGGTCACCAAAAATTACCAATCGGTCATCATTGCATATTTTCGCACTAAATTTAAAAAGATTATTGTTTCAAAATATCTTCAGAAAAAACTAAATTTCACTCAGTTGCTGATAAAACATATTGCAGGGTTTTGTCAAGAGAGTAAGTCTATACGAATATTCATAAACTTCGGCATGGAAGTCCATCTGGATATTCATAAACTACAGCATGGAAGTCCATCCGGATGTTTATAAACTTCGGCATGGAAGTCCATCTGGATATTCATAAACTTCGTCATGGAAGTGTATTCGAGTATTCTAAAATTCGGGTGAGAAGTCAATCCGAATATTCATAAACTTCGGCAGCGAAATCTATCCGGGTATTCTAAACTTCGGCAGCGAAATCTATCCGGGTATTCTAAACTTCGGCAGCGAAATCTATCCGGGTATTCTAAACTTCGGCAGGGAAATGTATCCGAATATTCATAAACTGTTAAAACATCAGAATATCCAGTTTCCATTATCTACAATCAGACAATCTTCCATAAATTTCAAGTGACAGATCCGCCGATGCAGAAATCAGGTTCTTGAATATCTAAAGTGACAAGCAGACATGTCATTCCGATAAATACCGCAGTTCTCAAGCATCATAAAATTTCTAAAAGACGAAATTTCAGAAATTTAAAAATATCACCAAATTTTAAACACTATTCCACGAAAACTAAATTAAGTTGTTTTTCTTCTTCAAAGCGCAGAACTGAGAAGTTATTTCTTTCCACAAAGAACTTAGCAAACCTAATCAATTTTTTTCTCATTTTATAGCTTACTAGAATTATACTCTAGAGTAATGAGTTACGCTTTGGGCTGTCTTCGGATTCTCCAGAATGCTGTCCTCGAAAGTTTGAAAGATTCAACTCAGACGATAGCGAAAGAAACAGACGATCTATTTCTGGTATGGAGGTGTTTTCTGCATCTAAGCCTCTACAATGATAGAAGCCTGTTAAGTATCAAAATATATTGTAAAAGTCCCTACCAAACCAAGGTAGGATAATATTCCAGCAAACATAGCAAAGAAAAAACACAAAATCATTACTATTTACATTATTCGGACTATTGTCCTCATCTTTGTCGCCATATTTATTACGTTTCGGCCGTTGTACGCTCCAGCCTTCTTCGGGTGGTTGGAATGTCGAACTGAACCCTTTATTTCGCTCACTGAGGTAGACTGTTCTAGTTCCACACATGGAACAGTGGATAAAGGCGTTGGTTAGATCCAGTGACAGGACCCAAAGAGTATGAGTTCAATACCCGGTTAAGGCAGTGGGGAACTTGCAGATGTGAATTAACAGGAGATAACTGATAACTGATATCCATTAAACATGGCACGTGGAACTAGAATAGTCTACCCCAGTGAGCGAAATAAAGGGTTAAGTTCGACATTCCAACCACCTGAAGAAGGCCAGAGCGTATAACGGCCGAAACGTTGTGATAAATATGGTGACAATGATGAGGACAATAGCCCGAATAATGTAAATAGTGTACATAATATCTCATCTCAGAAATATAGACAGGTACAAAATCATCATTTGAACAGCATTCTTAGTCTGTAATATTTTAATCTGGTCCCGGTTTGGTCTGTCACCAGATTTTTACACTATAGTGAACTTAATAGCACATTTAAATTTTACTGACCAGTTTTGGAAAGCTTGACTGATTGATTGATTTTTTACAGTTTATCAACCCTTTGCTTATTATTTAAAGCCAGAACATATTTTAAAATGTAAGAATTCTTTTGAAGATAATAATGATTTCGTGATACAAGTCTTGCTAATTAACCCGTAGCTGGAGGGAGAAGAGGTGTATTCATACATTTCCCAAGGATATTTACCTGTGACTATAACGAACTCAACTGGAACTCAGATCTCCGATTAACAATTCTCAGACATTATCCATTACACCACCTGCACTTCCAAGCTTACAACACCTGGTATTCCAAAACGGTCACCCATCTAGATACTGACAAATTTCGATATTGCTTAACGTTGGTGATCATACGGGAACCGGTATTTCAACGCTATATGGCCGTTTAAAATTTTTTTTTGCCTTTGTTAACGTATTTTAATCGTAAATATTTTTTTTTCTTAATTTTACGTGTTTTGTAATTTTAAGCTTGTTTTGGTAATATCTCTTATCAATCCAAATGAGTTAAAAGTTGCCGACGTTTGGGCCCTGATGATGCGTTGGCCGAAAGGCAGCCTAGGTCCGGATTTTTAAAAAAATGGACATAAAATTGTGTTTATTTAAATCAATATTCCTGCTCAGATCCTGTGGTATCAGGTGTTTACTTTAATATATATATATATATATATATATATATATATATATATATATATATATATATATATATATATATATATGTATGTATATTCCTAAGGAAAAAGTGTATTTTTTTTTCTGACTTCAGTTGGTCTGGGCAGTGGAGGGAAATGTCAAATATTAAAAAAGAGTCACCAGAACTCTTCGAATCTGTGTCTCACCCTCTGAGCTAACTTGCTTTTGACAAGCAAGAAATGACGGTGATTTCTCCTACACGTAGAGTGCAAGTTCGCGCCATGCCAGATTGGATATGCTCTTTATTGAATCAGTTAATTGCGCAGGCATGTTGACGTAATTCTCAGAGTTAAAAAAAATAGCTCATCTACGCAAACGCAAACATGGATATCCACAAATTGGCGCTTAGAATAGTATATATATATATATATCACGCGAATTTCTGATGTTTGGCTATTGTTCAGGTATGGGAAGTGGTTCGAGCCAAGGAAATTTCAACAACCCCTCATCTGTGGATATACAGATTGGTCAATTGAATACGTTGTAATAGATAGATAGATAGATAGATAGATAGATAGATAGATCAGGAGGATGACTTGATGTAATGAAATTGTGTCATGTTTAAACAGGCCGAGTTTACTGTGGGTTCTCCAAGCCCGTAGGGTCGGCAAAAAATATTTCCGTAGAACCCGAATAAACGGGTTCGGACCTGTCTACCTCCCCGGATGAAACTTTGCCCTTCGGCAAAGCCTCGTTCGTGTTCCTCTCTGCTCAAGGCAGAGAGTTCGACAGTTGAACAGTTTATACCACCGTTATATTTAACGCCCCGCCACGTGGGTCGTATGTGGCACAAGGCCGGTTAAGTGTGGGTTCTCCGTATAAACGGGTTCAAGGGGAATATTTCGTCCGAGTTCCACTCCGCCGAGGCGGAGAGTTTGACCGTCATGAACGGTTTGGAGCGCCCCCCCCCCCCCCGTTGGTTACTTTTCCTACTAAATTTATAGTAAGTGGAAGAGTCCATAATAGAATCATTAGAGGGAAGACGCTACAACAAGAATATAATCCAATATTGAAGAAAAATATATGAAATGATCTTGTTATTTGAATTCCTAAACCAAATACGATCAGAAGCCGAAATATGAAAACTGGTCTACAATTAAGAATTATTTCAGATCTCAACAAGTTACAATATTCCTTGCAGATCTCAACAAGGGATTTGGCATAATTCTTGATAGAAAATATGGCTCCAACAACAGAACTATCAATTGAAACAATGGAAATGATCCTTGAAACTCATTGAAGAAAGCAATTCACAATGGTGTGCCAATCAGTTGGGTCTAAGATTTGATGCAAATATTTAAAAATGGGGTGATTAAAAACATATTGTTAGACTATTTTCACGCCGACTATTGTCCTTATCTTTGTTATTTTCATCTTTGTTGTTGTGATCCAAATGGACAACAGGCGTTGATTCGTGAATTTGGTAACAAAGTAATTGAGTTCAATCCCTGGGCCGGGCAGTGTATACTTGAAGTCAGTGGAATCGGAGCGAGCTATAACCGAGCAGTACTATCAATAAGAACTACACAAGATGTGCCTAGACATGGGCAGTGCAACGAGAAAAATCTACCCCTGTAGATTAAATAAAGGATTCAGTTCAGAATTCCCTGTAGGTTACCCGACTCGACATACAAGTGATGAAGGCCGGTGGACAAAACGACCGAAATATTTCGATAAAACCAACAAAAAATGAGAATAACAGTCTACATGTAAATATTGTAAATAATGATAACTCCTCTGACCAGAAATTTAAATGGCAATATTGGTAGACATCCAAGTGCCAGGATAGAACTTTAAAAGTAATATGTCTTCAAAATAGAAAATGTACAAGAAAACAAGTGTAAAACAAGTAATTCAAAGCAGTCTTTGCGAGAGAACGCTAAGAAATTGATTTAATGAAGCGGGATTTTCATACAGAAACCCCAAATCACAACGGTACTAACACACAAGAGAGAAGAAACTGGGGTAAAATTGGACTAAAGAGAAACAATCATGGCGTGTGGTCGATTGAATCAAGAATCGTCATTGGCCAACGCGATGATGTTGGAACTTTTACCTGGTGCCGTTCAAATGAAACAGTCATTCATCTCAAATCATTCTTGACATGTGGCCGCATGTCTGCGCACATTGAAATTCTGGACAATTTTATCATTTCATATATAGAAAATTGGTTTGATGATTATAAAGTCATTTTTTTCAGAAGGAAAATGCATCTTGTCACAGAATAAAGGGGTATTCATTCTTTTCGTCACAAAAGGCTAAAAATGGCGCGTGGCAAACGAGCGGTCCGAATCTAAATCCAGTTGAAAATTTATGGTGGCAATTAAAAAAAATGTTTTTTTCTATCCACCGATATTCGGAAAAGTTTCATCCATTTTGAAAATAAGTAATGTTTTAAACTTGTGAAATTCATCGCTGAAAGACTTAGCTGACATAAAAGGTCGAGCAGGGGAAATTAAGTATTTTTGGTCGATAAATTTCATAATTTTTGTCTTCAGTATTGAGTTATTTCATAATATTTTCCTCTGCATGGCTTGGATAAAAATATACGATTAATTTAAATAATTTAATCTAACTGGTTTAAGGAATATTTATGAAGCTAGAGTGTTCAGTTAAACATATTTTTCTTCACAACTGTTTATTTACTGCTAAATAAAAACCAAGGCGAACATCCTCTAAATGTGATAATTCCATAATTCATGCCAAAGGTTCTAGGCGTCAGATTCACCTGACAATGTGTCTAAAAGAAAAGAATAATAATTAACGTTTCTTGGTTAAGTCGTTTGTTATTTAAACTTAACGAAGTAACATACAAATGCTATTTGTTTGGAGTAAAGAAATCCGTGGAGACGACATAACTTTATTTCTCGTTTTAGATTATGTAAAATTGCAGTGTTTATTTTTTTATATGATTTTCTTTGGTTATATACCATCTCAGTAGAAACCGATTTCCCCTGTAAAGTCAAGACGAGAAAATTACTTCTTGAAGAAAAAAAAGATTATAACTGATAACTGCCATAGAATCTAACGCGTTTTTTGTTTTTTTGACAGTCCGCCATCTTAATCATTGAACCGAACCTGTAAGTGCAACCGTAGATATAAATCAGATATATCCAAATATCTTTTTTTTTTATTAAATGCACTTACATAGTGAAATCCACGAGTTTTTTGGGGTTTTTTTTTCTTTTTTTTTTTGCATTTTGTATATTATAGGCCAATTTTATCTCATGTCTTCTCTAATACATACATTTTTATTACGTTATTTCTTTGTCTTTCCGCACCACTTAGATTCCTCTACTAACAGCCAAGATTGAAGCGTATGTATGTAGATAATGATAGATCCTGGAGCTGGGAAATCACAACTGTTAACTCACACACAGTCGAACAGCTTTCAATTACCGAGTTTTTACTATTGTTCACAATTAATAATAATAAAAGAAGAGACCCTATTAGACATTAATATATATAATGAAGAAATATTGTTTCTATGCAGGAACTTTCTGTTAAAAATTGAGAAAAGTATTCCCGAAATACAACCACATGAACTATTTTTGAGATATCTCATGAATTATTTTCTTGTGTCTCGCATGTTTTATTTTCATTATTCTTACAAAGCATTATTTTCTTGTCGCCTACATGTATTATTTTGTTGTCGCCATATGCATTATTTTCCTTTCTCTAACATGTATTATTTTTCTTATCTCCCACATGCAGTATTTTCTTTTCTCTAACATGTAATTTTTTCTTGTCTTCCACATGCAATATTTTCTTTTCTCTAACATGTAATATTTTCTTGTCTCCCACATGCATTTTTCTTTTCTCTAATATGTATTATTTTTCTTGTCTCCTACATGCATTATTTTTTCTCTAACATGTATTACTTTCTTGTCTCCCACATGCATTATTTTCTTGTCTTCCACATGTATCGTTTTCTTTTCTTTACCATGTATTATTTTCTTGTCTCTCACATGAATCATTTTCTTGTCCTCTACATGTATTATTTTATTTCCCTTCACATGCATTTTTCTAGTACTACACATTATTATTTTCTTGTCTCCTCCATGTATTAGATTCTTGTCTTGAACAGGTATTAATTTATCTCCCACATGTGTTATTTTCTTGTACCCGCATGTATTATTCTACTCCAAACTGGATTGAACTAAAAATTTAAATTATAAGCGACGTCGTGTGTGAATGTTGAATAGAGGCTCTATGAAGCCATTCTCAAAGGGAAGTTAGTCAATGGCCTCTACTAATCAAGCAATGTCGGATGTACATTACTGCTTAAAGGCAGGCTTTAAGAAGATATTCACAATGGCAGGGAACTGAATGTACTCTCCCAATCCAGCTCAGAACCATCAATTGTAGTTATGTAATGCTTCCATTTTACGTTTAACTTATTTTAAAAATTGATCTTATCTCGTAATTCCATCTTTATAAGACTTAGTTTTAAAAGAACTTAGATTACATTGATGAAGAAAATAATATAACATATGTTTTATCATTTCAATCATAATCCTCGTCATCATCATTTGTATGATCAGGCTAGAGTTATCTTGTTACTGTCGCCAACAGCCGAATGAATAACGCTCATGAAATATTATTATTATTATTATTTCCTTTCATTTCTGGTGTGTACTCATTTTTTCCGGGTCCCGCCTTGAGACCTAAGCTCAGAAATGGAATCATGATATT